AAATGATCCATGAGAGTGTCAGAGACAGAGAGACTCAGAGCAGCTTTTATCAATATGTTGTCCCGCGTTATTTACGCGATCGATCCAACTATTGTGTATGTCAACTTTAATTCCATCTTTGTCTTCTTTCTGTTACTAGAATTCTATATTAAAATCCATATACTAATCATGAAATTTGTAGTTCTGATGACAAGGGAAATGAAGTCTCAAGATAATTAAAATATTCAAGTTCTGATGCGAAAGATGGTTATTCCGATGGAATGGTCACTATTAAACTAAATCGGTGTAATCGGCACGTAGCAAAAAGGACACTAGCAAAAAAACCGATATCAAACATTTCATTGTTCAAAGAAGTGACTCCAATACGGCATGTAGGAAAAATGAAAAATCTCGAAATTCTTTGAATTCTAGATAAAAATTTGTTGAAATTTTATAAACAGAAATAAATGAAAGTAAAAAGGTAATAAGTTCTAACATTTGGATGTGGGATTTTGAGAGTGTGTTATGATAGAGAGAAATTAATGGGAATAGTGACCTTAAGTTAAGTCAAATCAACATCTACTCTGATTGATAGAAAGAAAAGGTCATCACAATTCTTTGTTTCCTGAATAACTTGTTTTGAGTTGTAAAAATAAAATAAAATAAATTTTATTGATTTGACGAGGTGGGGAAAAGAACAGTCGTAAACATTTATATTTTGTCAATTATTATTGATTTTTTTTTTCCATAGTTTCATTTTTCTTCTTCATGATGGGACATAGAGGTTGAGAGGCCATTGTGTATTTGTAGAAAAATTTTGGTGCGGAAAAGTAGTTATTATAGATGATTTGTACGAGTTTATTGGAGAAAAAAATAACAAGTATAAGGTAAACGACATAAATGCTAAAGCTATATCAATTTGAAAATAAACAAATTATAAAAACACATACTATCGACGTTACTACTACAATTTCTGAAATATTTTTCATTTTAATGTAACTTTAAATCTTGCATAATTATGAGTGAGTTTTTTACCTAATAAAATAATCCAATTATGACGAAAACCCATATATTTTTAACAAGAAAATGACTTCATATACTTATAAACAATTTTCTATATTATAAATGGTTTAAATAAAAACCAAGTAGGGGCTGATCTCAAATGTGCCTACTTGAACTCAGTCACACAAAACTGATATGACAAAATAGACGCACGAACTATATGATAAAATTAGTGGCTAGTCTCATCGTTTAGCTGTTTAGAGTAGTGTCTTTGTTACCTCAAAGCTCAAATCAATTAAAGAGAACATGCATTTATGAAAACGATAGTTTGCAAATAATTAAGACTAAGGGTATGACTGATAGACACTTGTAG